CGAGTCTCCCGCTGCGGTCAGCCCGACCGCGGCCGGGAGCGTTTGGGCAGGGGGAAGCTCTCACCCCGCGCAGGGGCGAGGGGCTTGGGGGAGTGAGGGGCCGAGGGCGGGCGCTGAACCCCTGCGAACCTGCCCCGCTGGCTGTGCCTTGTGCCCTTTTCGTCCTCCTCGCTTATTATTCCGCTGCTTTCGTTACACCACTATTATTCCATTGCTTTCTTTACACCTGGAGGGAAGAGAGATGACTTTTTTCTCATTCCCAATAAATTCCAGTTTTCCCTATTGCTGCATAAGCAATTCTCACTGCTTTTTGAGGGGGAAGGAAGCGGGAGGTGAGGAGGAAGGAAGTGAAGCTCGCTTGCTCTCCTGGTTTTGTTACAGCTGTTTATTCACTATTAGCTGTGTTGAGCTTAAGTAAAGAGCTTGGATGTACCGGTCAGCTATCAGCTCTTCATATGTGGCTTCACAGCAGCTTGAGGCTTCGCTTCTGGGACTTTGTTTCTTGTCACCTTGTCCTTGTATGGAGGGGCCCAGATGTAGGAGAAGCGGGATGTTTCCAAAGGCCTCCCTCCACCCTGTCAATTCCTAAAGCATAGGCTATCTCCTTGGGTCCTCTGGGGCTTGCAAGCTTGTAGAGCCCCTTGCAGCTCTTCATCTGCAGGATCTGGGGCACAGAATCCTCCCTGACCCTGGGGAGCTTTGTAACAAATCCCTTCTAGGAGAGCACGTGTAAGTGGATGGTGTAGCTTCACCAGCTGAAAGGAGGGGAGCCCTAGAGGCGTTCCCACGGCTTGGTGTTGCTCCAGTTGTCTCATTGCCCCACTTGAGGAGAGGGCTGAGCAGGGGCCCATGGAGCTGTTGCTGAGCCTGCCAGCTCTCGTGTCTTCTGCCCGGAGCTGGCAGTTACCTGGCAGTCCTCAGGCCAGCACAGCTCTCTTGCCGATTGCATTTTGTAGTTGGGGAGCGGAAACCGCATTCGGAAGGGGGCTGCGTGGCTCAAGAATTATGATCTGGCTGTTCTTGGCCTAAGTTGCTGCAGAATAAAAAAGGGAAGCACTCTGTTATTCACAGACATCCTCCAGCTGGGTTATTTGTGTAGACTGTGTAAGACCCTTATCTTTTCTCGGCAGTCATTGCAACTCTTAAGAGCCTTACAGATAATGGCATTCAAAGGTTGGGAATCCTTCATCTTTGGGCTGTGGTGTTGCTCCCCCAGCCCGCAGGAGGTTGCTGCATGGGAGCTGCTGCGGGGTGGTGAGGTGGAGATAGATTGGCAGTTTGCATAAGAACTTTTATTTAAGTGTGAATCCCAGTATCATGGTGAATTAACCTCATTAATCAGTGTTTACTGGTGCTAACAACATCCCAGTTTCCACTTATCTAGCAAATTAACTGTGTGTGTTCTTGGTCAACCAAGATAAGACCGCTGTGGGAAAGACATACCCTAGCATGAGTGGCAAAACCCCTTTCTGGCCGTGTAGATAGAGTTGTGTTGCCCACGGAGGATTGCGTTGGATAAGAAGGACGAAACCAGCACAAACTGCCCAACTTCACAGAAAACTCAAAAGCAAAGGGCCAAGCTGGGTATCTCTCACAGAGTGTTGTCTGATGGCTTTTCAGTGAGCTCAGACACCTGAGAGCTGTAGAAATATGACGGATTAAAGGAACCTTGCTCTGCCCCAAATGGTTACGGACTTAACATAGGACAGCTGCTAGGTGCTTGGGAGATGTAAGTACATATAACAGGCTGATTCTCCCCTGCTGCCAGTCAGAAAGGCTTGACCCTGCTCCCACACTGTCACAAGTTACCAATGCCTATAGCCATGTTGAAAACAGCCCCTGTTACCGGTTGTACAACCTGCAGCGTGGCTCTGTCCTCTCTGTAAGTCAGACTGCTTGATGTGCTCTGGGCAGAAACTGTAACTAAAAAACCTCTCCGTAGCCTATGTCCTCTCCGTTCTGCTTGTTGTGTGCACGTTATATTGGTGAGCTGATCTTCTGGCTGTCTGTTACACAGCACTGTCCCGCTGCTGCTTGAAAAATCTTTCTTTTCTAGAGCTACACCTAAAGTGTGTGTACTAAACCCAGACACAGCATTTGGGTGGACCTCTGCATCTCGTACTTTAGACGTGGGCTATGTCAGTTTGAGAGGGTTTTTTTATTATAGTTACTACTTCAGGGTGTTAGGTGTAGTGAATTACAGCAGCTAGAAAGCACACATGGCAGAAATCATCACTGTAAAATTTCAAGGCAAAATGGAAGTGCTGCTTGGGTTTTCAAAGCGTAATCTCGCGAGGCATAAAGTAAATATCTCGCCCGTAACGTGAGAGGAACTCCATGGGTTAATTACCATTGGATTTCAGAGTGAATCAAATAGCTGAGCTGTTATAGGTTTATATTTTGCTGATTTCCAGTTCCTCAGCTGCCCTCATTTTTTCCAGTCTATATGCTCAGTTAAACATTTGCTCCCAAGACGTTAAACAGCTGACTTTTTTTCACATACTTATAATGTGAAGTCACATAGTTCAGTGAATTTCTACGCGATTCCAAGAAACCCAGGATGTCAGGCTAACCCCACAACATCTGCTGTCGTCCAGGGTAGTCATGTGTGCTTGAACAATATGCATCCAATAGGGAGGGCATACTTTAACCCTTGGCCACCAGCTCTGATGGTACAGATAAATCCTACCCTTTCTGTATCCTGTTAACAACACAAAATATTTTCTTTCTGCCTCTATAGTTGCAGAGAGTGAAGAATGAATATGGCAAAGAATATGGCAATGTCAGCCTTAAACTTTTTAGCTTCAATTGCACTCTCCAGTCCCGCCCAGAGAATTATTTTACCATATACAGTATGACTTCTTGTAACACTTAAATCCATACTATATTATTGGGTATTTTTGGTGACCAGTGGTTTGTTTTCTTTGAACATGACTGATGTTTTGGGGCTCCCCATTTTTTTTTGGCTATCCAACTTGAGAAATATTACCTAGCCTTATTTTTGTGATCTTGCAAGTGGTCCATATGTTAAAAACTCAGCTGTCAGTAAATTTAGACCAGTACTCTTATTTTTTGAAGTGCCAGTTATTCTGATGGATGTTTTCAGTTTTATTCCTAAACAGCTCAACTAAAACATTTGTCTTTTGATACTATTTGATCAATTGCAGTGTTCTACAGAGTGAAATGTCTTTTTCTTTCTTCCCTACAGATAAAGGGATATTTATTATCCAAAGTGAAGACTCCAACTTGTGCATTAAAGTGGCCACAGTTGGCCTTGTTCTGGAAGACTGCGGTCAGCTCTCAAAAGACATGTTATGGAAATGGGTATCCAATCGCCGTCTTTTCAACATAGGCAGAAGTACCTGTCTAGGACTGAACATCAGTAGACCAGAACAGCCGTTAAGCATGCTTGAATGTGATTCAACTCAATACTCGTTATGGTGGAATTGTGATGGAAGAGCATTAGTTGGTGTATCAGAGTACAGATTAGCCATTGAAAACAGCAAACGTATTGTGGCCAAAAAAAAATCTCCTTATCAGTGGAAACAGTACATGTCCTATGATGAAGACCTTTGTGAACACCCATTTCAAGGTAAAAATAAAACTTTGTCATAGAAATGTAGATGGGAAAAGTTTTCAAAAGCTCTTTTGAAGCAAGGTCAGGTGCTTATGATGCTTTCCAGCCTCAATTGTGGTTTGGGACTCAAAGTTTGGTTTTTTTGTATGTAATGGTTTAGGTGAGCATACCACACAATTGATTTTTTTCCTTATCTGTTATATGGACCCAAAAAAGCACCAGTATCCTTGCAAACCAGGAAATGCTCATTTCAAATCCCCTATAAAATAAAAAGGGGAACTAAGGATTTGCTGTTGCCTGTCCTGCAGCTTTCATTATCAGACAAGACCAAAGAGAGATAACAAAGGATTTGGAAGTCCTGTCACTGAAAATCAGTCTGTGATCGCAGCGTGCCTGAACTGAATGTTTGCAACGTTCAGCACCTGGACTCTGAACATGCCAAACTTTGGAGCAGAGATCAGGCTTTTGATTAATCCTCCTGTACAGCTAGTGAAGGTGTAGGAATGTATGTCAAGATCCAGGTCTGCAGACCTGAACAGTTTTCCAGGTATAAGGACTGAGGTAAACCCATTGACTACAAACAGCGACAGACTGTACCTTGACCCTTTCCTCGGCATTTCTGTAGAAGGAAAGACCTAATGTTTGCACAGTATGTTTCAGACTGGAGCTGTTGATTCTCCCCATTTGAACTGGGTGTTTGGGCTGCAGATCTGGTCTCAGTGGTTTCCTGTGTAGGTGTAGCTGGGCTTGGCCTCTGCTAACTCCAAAGTCATTCCTTTGGGAGCTGTGATAACTGGGAAGGCATTATAGCGTCCGACCTAGTGGAGTTTATCCTTAAGACCAGACAAAAAATATTTAAACCCACAAAAAGTCTTACACATTTGCTATGTACACAGATGAAAGTAGACCTGGTTTAGGCCTAGTACTGCAACATCTGGGAGAAGAGGATCAGCCTTAGGCAGGTGCTTCTAGCCTAAGTTCAGGAGCAAAGTAATTGCCTTGGCAAAATCTCTTTCACCTTCAATGTCTATTTTCCTCCTTCTACCTTAGCTTATGCACATGCAAATGCAAGCCAGCCTGTTAGTCTGCCAGCTTGGGGGGGCTTCTCTACCTTCAAAGAAAAAATGTTTTTACCTGTGGTGAGAGGTCTGTAGCTGTCAAATTTGGTTTCTTGCCAGGACCGAGATAATCCCTTGCACCGACGTAGCTAGCAGCATGGTAGCTGGCAGACAGAGAAGCAATCCTGATCTTTTTTTTTTTTTTTTTTGCGCATGTTCTTTGTATCATCTGTTCATATCAGAAGGCTTTAAAGGGGATTTACAATGTGTAAACTGCTTTTTTATATGTGCGCAGCCAGCCGTTAACTCTGGAAACCTCTAGGAACCTGGCAGTATGCACTGATTCTGTAGTTGAAGGACTTTGATCTTTAGGCTATCAACACGGGATCTTTGACAAACAATTTCATTCTAAGTGTGATTGTGGTTCTTTGACCTTTTGTAGAAGCTCTGAGGTTAAGGAGACACTCACTGAGGTAAAGCTGTTACAGCTTTCAGTTGCACTGGATTCTCTCAATATTTTGGTACTCAAAGTACAATAGGAAAATATTTTAAATATTTCATAAGGCATTAATTGATTGTGACAACAGATGTATGTAACATCAGTTCTTTAGCTAGATTATACCCCATGGTATAAAACCTTCTTTTTAAAAGTTTATTTATTGTTCCTTTGTCTTCCACATTTCCTTTCCCATAGAATGACAAAGAGAATGGAAAAAGCATTAGAAATCCACTTTATAAAGAGTGGGAGGAGTAGGGGAAATAATGCTAAATTGCTCATCTGTCATGGACTAACAAATAAAAAATAAGTAGAGTTTGCATCTGAGCGTGTACTGATTCTGCTAACTATTGTTTTATGTAGTTGTTGTGAAATGTAAGTGCAGATTTTATATGTTAATTGTTCAGGTTTGGTTTTGTGGTTTTTTTTTTTTTTCTATTGTAGTAAATTATGAGAATGTGCCTTGTTTCATGGTGACAAATTTCCTAAACTATTATTTCCAAATTCTGTTCACTGAAGTTATGCTGCTCATACTTGTAATGCTGTGATATCAATTATAAATTAAAATTAGAAAATAACTTCAGACATTTTATTTTTACCATTGCTGCTAAAAATGGGAATAATGAAATATGGGGGTGAAGAAATTTCTGTGGTCTGCATTCTTTCAGTCTCTGCATTTTGTTTATTCCAGAAACATACACCTTGCTGGGAAATTCTTTTGGTTTCCCATGCATTTTTCCATTTAAATATAACAACAAGTGGTATTATGAGTGTACCAGAGATGGAAAGGAATTTGACTGGTGTGCCACAACAACTCACTATGAACAAGATGAAAAATGGGGGTTTTGCCCAAATGCTGGTAAGATGTTGCTTGTCTTCTTTCCCGCTCCACCCCCCAAGAGTATCTTTGCTCTTTATTAGTGATTTTAGGACGCACTCTGTTCTGGATTACTTCCCTTCTTTGAGAGGGGAGTGTCTCCTTAAAAAACCCAAAAGAAGACTGTAGCAAATTTTATCATAATTTATCATGTTTGGCCTTTGGAGACACAAGTCCTCATCCCAAAAGCAAAACGACAGGGGTGAGCAAAAGGATGTTATTCTGTGCAGCCCATTGACCTTACCCTGCAGCTAAACCTCTCTCTCCTCTGTCCCAGTGATACATGGGGAGCTTCTCTGAAGCATGTACAGTAAGGGCTGCTCTTGCAAAGTCATGTTCTGCTTTTGACTGCATTGCATCTTGCACATTCCTTTTCTTCTGTGCACTGCTTGGACCTGTCTTGGGCTTAAAACACTTAGAAGCACTAGCTTTAAAAATACTTGCTATCGGAAAGATTTTGGATGTATAATCGTCATGAATATTCCAGCTTCTTGCATAAATAAGCAAAATAGTACCTTCTGTCAGCAGAAGTGGTTTGGAAAAACCCTCCCTGCTCCACCTACGTTTCAGATCTCTGTTGCAAAGCATCTTAAAAACAGCTGTAAATGTATCTTTGTAATGGGGATTTCTGGGCGACCATTATACTAAATGGTATTTTCAGCCTTGCTTATACTTTGTAATTGTAGTAAGTTTATTCTCTTGAGTACAAGATAGAAGGAGATCCAGTGACTGCTCCTCCACAAGTTGGATGAGGTGTTTATAGTTTGAATATTTCAACATTCAGCTTCGGGAACAAATGATCAGCTGGTATAAATGAAAATGTAGCTCTGTTGGCTTCATGAGAGCTGTGAAAATCACCACCAGCTGCAGATCAGCTCCCGAGTGTTTTATCAACCATATGAAATATGGAGCAACGTTTTATTCCATTAGTGCCCTATTTCCATATGTTCTTTAACAAAGGAGCATGAAAGGAGTTCATAATCGTGCTTCCATTGGGATGCTGCTGTCACTAATTAATTGATTTGTTCAAGGTGTTATATTTTGGATTAGTTTGTAGTCTTGGGCTGTTGGTGATGAGTCTGTTTTTGAGCAGAGAGCGGCTGTGACATTTTTTGGAAGAAGAACCCTGACACGCACATATGCTACCAGTTCAACCTTGCGTCTGTGCTGACCTGGCGTGAGGCACGGGCCGCCTGTCAGCTGCAAGGAGGAGACCTGCTGAGTGTCACCGACCCCGAAGAGCAGAACTACATAAGTAACTTAAGCAGTGAGTATACCTTTCTCTGGGGACCTTGTAGGAAACCTGTAGTTAGGTTTCCTCTTTACCTGTGAAAAAGGGGTACGCTTAGGAGCTTAGCAGTCTGTGTGATGTCTCTCACATTGCTGCTTGCGAGGCTTTGTCACATAACACACCTCAGTAGAGCTGTTTGCAAAAGCAAGGGTGAAGCTAAGTTACCACCTTAATAACCCGAGTGCAGAAGTGGTGGTATGTGTTACGTGAGGGTGTAATTGTCTTAATTCTCCCTCTCCACAGAGACTCCCATTCATTCTTGCAGCTGTGGTTATACAGTGTGTTTATTTTCTTTGGAGAATTATACAAATATTTACCTTCTCTGCAATGTACCCTGGTATCCTTTTCTCCTGTTAAGTTTTCTTTGCAGGCTGGACTTCACCAAATGTGAATGATGAGCACATTTCTGCAGGCTTGAAGTAAATGTCCTGTATGGGAAAAATGCCAACTCTGTTTTCATAAATGGATGGTATTCCTTCTCTGATAAGCCATTTGCTTTCCCCAGTGCAGCAAGCACCGCAGACAAATTTTGCAGAGCCTTCTGACAGCATGGCTTTTGTGGGTACTTTACCGTGTGAGCAGAGGACCAAGCAGAGGAATGGGTGGTAGAGCTGTGATGCGAAAGGCTGCCTCGGGTTTCTTGCCCATTGCTTCCCATTATTGGTGATTTTCAATTGCGGGATATAAGCTAACAGGAAGTTTTAAAAATTATTTCATTAGCTTTTTGATATGCGTGCAGGCTGTAAAGGGACTGAAAGTTGTTTGGTTTACGGAAAGCTGAAACAGGCTAGCATTTATGTAGCTGCTGGTTCTAGATTTAACTTCTGAGGTTGGCAACAACTTCTGCAGGAAGTTTCTACGGACAGAAAAAACAGTCTGAACTTTCTGGAGACTGATTTGAAGCTTTGTTTTATTCCTATTGTAACAAGTCAGGACAGCAGATCTATACCTGTAGATATTTTCAAACATGGGGAAAGTGTGAAGTATTACTTTGTTTATTTTTTTCTGTTTCAGGGCAGCTAAATGCCACAGACATGATGCTGTGGACAGGCCTGAATCGCCTGGAGGAAGATGCTGGCTGGCAGTGGTCAGATGGAGCACCGCTAGCATTTGTGAACTGGAGAGCAAGTACTTGGTGTTCCTCTTGATATGTTGTAGCAGTGTAATTATATGCTCTCTGTAACTGCAGCTTGATACAAGACTGCTGTTCCTACAGCTACATTTGAAAAGTGAATCAAGTGAACGAGTCTACCTCTTTTTGTAGAAATATTTATTCATATTCATGAACTAAAAGCCCTTTTTAGGACTGTAGCATCAATTGAGATGGATCAGTTCAGAGCATTAATGATCTGGCCCTTTCGTGATTTACTTCTAAAGGTGTTTTTTAAGATTCCAGTTGCATATTTAAAAGCCATGCTCTAGCTGGTTTCATGGAGGAAAGGGCTTTCAGTTTGTTTACATTAACATGCTGTAATTAACATTAACACATTAACATGAGCTTTGTGACTTGGTTTGCTACATTTTGAGGTCTGTCCACCAGCAGATATAACATAGACACTAGAGCTTATTTCAGCCTCTTATCTGATAGCAGCAGCCAAGGAGGGATTGCCACACGTGTATAAATCATGGTCAGTGTTCAGCTGTCCATAGTATTGGTGTAATATTACTAAAAGTTTGGGTGTGCAGGGATGTTTATACATACATTCAATAAGACACAGCGAGCCTTGCAACACCATTTTACAAGTAAGAACTGATTTTTTGTAATTTTGTGCTTCTCAAAAATGTGTTTGCAGATGTCTTTGATGACCGTTTTAAAGAAAATCATTGTGCAGTGATTACTTCAAAACTGAAGAACGGCTGGCAAAGTTATTTATGTGAAGCTGGATTGCCTTTCGTATGCAAAAAATATTTAAATAAGACAGAGCATGAAACATTAGGTAAGTCTCACAATGTTACTGTATCCTGTTTGTGGGTGTGGAAGGAGAACATGAGGAAGCCACCTGAATATAAAGTCAGCAGAACAGAGTCTTAGCTAGACTAAACGTATGGATTTGCTAGTTTGAGTTGAATACAATTTACTTTAAGTGATGTAATAACTTTCTTCTGTTTAAATGTAGTCCTGGAAAACATGTTGAGAGTCTTAAAACTAACACACAGTTTTAATATACATAGCATTTAATTGGTTCCTTACATGATCAGAGGCTTACAGAATTCTCGTTCTCTTTATATTACAATAAAGCCACATTTTCGAGTTTAAAAATAGGTTTTCAGCTTCGAATGGAATTAACCAGTGGCCCACAGAGAAGAAAGTTGTATAAATGCAGCTCAAAACTTGCAGTTATTTTTATGCCATGCTGTACTTTTGATATACAAAAAAATCATTGTACATATATTTTTTTTAAAGTGTTTATATAATGAGTATAGGATATATAGTACATAGAATGCCTCAGACTCCCATTCTGAGGGAAAGTTAAACACAGAATTGAGTTTATTAGAATATTAATTTTTGTTTTGGTAAGAACAACTTAAGTTCAGCTTCTTCCAGATAACTTAAATGAAAGTTTCCCTATTTGTTTCAGAAAATGAGAAATTACTTACCCAAATTTTTCGTAGGTAATGCAGCTGAAAAAGCTTTAGCTGGCTTTGAATCAGGTTCAGAGGTAATAACGGAGATAAAAAATGTTTTAAACTGAGTAACAGATCCATTAGTGTGTTTGCACTAGTCCAGCAGCCCCAATGGTTGTATCATGAAATAAAGTGGGAGAAATTTCAGTTTGCTTGGCGGGTGATGTTCCACAGAGCATGTGTTTTAGCCTCCTTAAGTCGTCTTGGATGACTCTTTTCAGCATTTGAAGATTAAAAAGTAGCTCTGAATGTGTTATGAACATAGCATAACCTTGGCAACTCTATCTAATATACACAAACTTTGTATGCTTAATTAAAAGGTACATGGAAGTATTACGATACTCGTTGTGACGCTGGCTGGTACCCACACAATCGCAACTGCTACAGACTTTATAAAGAGGAGAAGAACTGGAACGACGCTTTTATCTCATGCCAAGGCGACAATAGTGGGCTCATTAGTATAGCCTCCATGGCAGATGCAGAGCTGCTCCTTAACTTGCTTGAAAGTGGTGAGTTTTGGGAGTTAAAGTGTGCAGTGTTTCTTCAAGTGTTTTGTGATGCTCTTTTGTGCAGCCCTTTAACACTGTTAGCCACGTAAGCACTATATTACATGGCACACCCAAATGATGTTTACAAAAAAAAGAAAGCATGATGCATGCTCCTTCTAGGAGTCTTTAAAAATGTATAGCCTCACCTTCTCCAGTAACCATACTTAGAATAAAGAATCAACAAAGTAAACACAGTGAGGCCACAGTAAACACGCTAGTTTTTGTCCTTTCTTGTTCTTGGCTGGTTCCTTGCAAACTGTTGCAAAATATTCAGTGATCATCCTTATGCAAGAATTGTGCTTAGAAGCAACAACAATTCAGAGTATCTTTTGCTTTCAAGCTGGCCTTGTCCACACTGCAAAGTTGCTGCTGCTGCAGAATTGCCTTTGATGGCAGCAGGGTGTATCAAAGAGTTCTGCGAGTCCACATTGTCCTAAGAGGTAGCATAATTACACAAGGAACTTAATGAACAAAAGCTCTTTGGTGTAGCAATGCCAAGACTTTTGTTGTCACAACAGCAGCAAAGAAAAGTGAATATTTTGGGGCTCCAGCTGACATCAGTGTGCTGGCAGAGCTGCACAGTTTGGCCATGAGTATAAGCTTCCTAGAGCTGGGGCACAGTGACATGTTTTATCAACCCTGTCCCATCAGCTGTGGTTTCAGGATGCTGTGTTACACTGGATTTACTGGACATCATCTCCCATTATCACCCCTCCTGCCACCCATCCTCTTTGCTGTCCTGTCTGTCTTTCTTTTAGGAGATTAACCTCTGTATCGTCTTCCTCACCTCTGTTAACACCCTCCATAGGTACCAAATACCATTATTTCCAGAGATGCTGTAATGGATAGATGTAATTGTTCTCAGCTTGTATTCAGCTTCAGTCTGCTGCTTCTATTTCAGACCTGCTTCAGGCTTCTCTTCAGGGGAAGGGCTTACATGCCTGAAAGCCTGTCTACTTTTTCTGGCTGTAGTAGCTCGTCAAGTAAGACATTGCATCAAACCACAGTCCTTGTCTTTCCTATGTTTGCCAGCCACTGCGGCTACAACTGTGCTGTCACTGGAACTTATAAACATCACTCAGAGAAACTTAAAGCTGAGTGTGCCATGGAAGATTAGAAGAAGAAATCTTTCCCTTCCACGTCAAGCTTTCTGGCCCATGTACTTCAAAAAAGTGCATATGCTCTTGATTTGTATTTTTCAGGATTTCAAAGCATATTCTCGTGTATGTTGATCTATTTTTGAAACAATTTAGTCTTCAAGGGCAGTAGAACAATATCTCATCGGTAAGGTTTCCTGAAGTTTATACAGCTTTTTTTTTTCCTTAAAGAAGGTAATTCTTATGAAAATCCCATGAATAATTTTTAATGGTGGTGTTAATGTTACAGGAACAACAGGCGTTATTTCTTCACCATTAAAATCTGAACTCATTTATTCTTTTACAGAAAATGTAACTGAAACATGGATTGGGTTATACAGTAATAACACCCCCATTGTTTTTGGGTGGTCAGATAGCACCCCAGTAAAATTCTCCAACTGGCACAGCCAAGAACCTAACACCTTTCAAAGAACAGGACAACTCTGTGTTTCAGCACAAGGATCTGTAAGTTTCCTTTTGTTTTTGAAAGAATTAGACGGGCACTTTTATTTTAGCTCATAATAATTTATTTTCTCACTATGCGTACTTTTTGAAACCATGACCTGTAGTATGGCTTTGGTTTTTGATTCCTAATATATTCATGTTGTGATAAATGCAATGTAGCCTTTACAAACCAATACATTTTGCAGCACTGATGCACAGAAAATTAATCATAGATTTTGACCTTATGTTCAATAAAAAATGTTACATACATAAAGCTTGCCAAATGGAAGAGAACAAATATGAGTAGGTATTTTGATGAAGACAAAGTAATTTAAAATCCAAGTCGTGTATATCATAATTTGTGATGTATCAGTTCTGGTCCTGAAAGCTTCAAATTCATGTTTTGAAAAACTGTCAGCTGTGCCTATTTTATCTTGGTGTCAATATTTATAAATTTTATGTAACATCTTTCAAAAACAGATAGCAGTCTATATTTACATAAAATTATAGAGGTTGACAGCAATAAGATGGACCCCAAATCAGTCATTACTGGGAGTAATGTTCAAATAACACTATGTCCTGCCTTATCAGTATTCATGGCACTGTCATTTTTTTCATAATTTGGTCATAAGTTTACTTTTACAATTAACAGTACTTAAATTCACTAATGTGACTTACATAAGTAGCACTATAATACTTTTTTAAAGTGTGTTTTGTCTAAGTGTGAAAACTGTATTGAAAACAGTTTCTAGTGTCTCTCCAGTAGTGGGTCCAGGTTGCAATCTTTAACTCATTGGAAAGCGAAGACAACTACAGTGACCTGGAAAAGTGGGTTCCCATTAGAAGCAGAAAATAGGACTGTGCTAAAATTGTGGTTTTTAGATATACAAAAGCGTATTTTACTCAGTTTGCAGTGTAAACAAACAAATGAAAATGTAAAATACAAAGGAAAAGGAGGTTCAAGGTAAAATTCTCTGAGCGTTGCTTTTGGTACATGTCCAGTATGTATATATGTCTGAAAAGTATATCATATAAACTTTGTAATATCTTGAATGAGGACTGTTCAAATATAAAGATTAATCTTACAAAGAACTATAATAGACAGGAAGAAAGTTCCTATCTGTTCTGAAAAGTAAGTGCTCTGGCATGGCCGTAGCGTTAGTTAATTAAGATGCATTACATCCCAAAGATTGATTCAGAGAGGCAAACACTTTTGTATGATTAATTTGAAAAGTCCTGCTGACAGTGTTGGTAGAAATAAATGGTCCATCTAAGGATAAATAAATGGAGCGAGAAAAATTACTTGTTTGTACTGAAAAGTTAAAATAGGAGGAGGGAGTGTAATCTAATGTGTTTATAGATATGCATGAGAATATGAGTATGTACAGAATATACTTCTTTTTATCCCTTAGGAGGGACATTGGAAGGTTAAAAAATGTGAAGAGAGATCTTTCTACATTTGCAAAAAAGTAGGGGAATTGAATAATGTCTCTCCTGAGCTGGAATCAAGTTGCCCAGAGGTAAGGGGTTTTGTGGTTTTTGTTTGTTTTAGAGCCTTACTAATAAAATGGAATTATATAGGAAACCTCTAAATGTAGCTATGGAACATATGGATGTAAACAGATAATTTTAGTTTTTCATATTAAAGACGCATGTTTTGCTAGGAAAAATCTAATTGTTTGCCTTGAAAATATGTAAACTAAATTTTAATGTAAGATTAAAAGCTTTCCCAAGATGCCTTTCATGGCATGTTGCGTTGTCAGCGGTTGTGACCCAAGTTCCTATTTCTTTCTAGATCAAAAGTGAAAACCCTTTTGTCCACCATCTGTGCAAATAATGGCTGTTATATGATGCCTCATCCCACACATGGTTTTCATACATTGAAATGGAATGTCAGGGTGAAAAACAACCAGTTTCATTGACACGGAGAGTGAACTCTTCCACTCGTACATTAGCATTCCTTTTGCTTTCAGACACAAATGGGAAGGAGCACAGCTATCTAAATAGGACATTGCAACAGGTTTTCAGGCTTTTAGGCTGTGCATTCTGGTAGTAAAAGGTAACGTGTTAAAGTATGATTTGCTTTGCCATCAGTTCCTTTTCACAGTGTGAAAAGGGCAAACTTGTTGACTTTATGTTTTATTCAAAACTCTAGGGGAGTTTGTGAACCTCTAATTTCTCTTCTCTACCTTGCTTTACTCTTTAGCTCATTGTCTTCCTTTTTTAATTTCCTGTCCTTTTTCTTGACAAGTCAAGAAACACAACCAGTTCAGTTGAATTATAAATAAGACAGCTGAAGCTGAACTGTTTGCAGTCAGATGCAGTCTTTCCCCAGACGTACAGTGCTCAGATCCAGCGTTCCGGTCATACCATTATGGAGGCAGAAGTTACTGCTTGGTTCCAGCTTAACATTTCCCAAAGTTTAGGGTAACTGCATTCATTTCATTTGGACCAATGTATTTCCTCACTCAAGAATTCTCTGTGTTATTAGTGTAAGAAAGGTTTGTCACAGTCCTGACCATGTGAAAAATGTGCAGAGCATCAAGACTTCCAGTTGCAGTCAGGAGCTTGACAGCCCTTCAATTTCTGGTACCTCACAGGATCGAGACTCAAGAGATGGAGTCACTGGTCATAGGTAGTTTGGTCTGCTCTGGCAAACTTCCTACTCGGGATAAATTTCTGCTTGTTGATGTTTCACACCCTGTAAAAACATATGCTGAACCCTGTTATAGTCCCTTAGTTTTGATAGGTCCTTTTCTTTCTAATGTGAAAAAAGTTATATTCATTTAATCAAAAGAAGGCAGTACTAAGCTTACTCAAAGCTACAGTTGATTTCAGACATTTTGTCTTGACAGCTCACTTTCTTTTAACATTCAGTGTATATGTTGTTGCTAGTTTTTGGCCTAATTTTCCAGGGCTAAGTCTTTATTTCAACCAGGTTTAGCTTTTTTCCCCTCTTTTTCTGTTGCTGACTTACCTTAAATGTACAAAATATCTATTGGCATTTCTCACATTTGATCTTTTGCTTCGTTAACCTCATACTGTCATTCATGTTGGATTGCTGGTAGATTCTCAGGGAGCTTTGGCCTCGGGCACAGTTGTTTGCTTTTCTAAAGCTTTATAGTCTTATGTGTTATTACTGAGCTTTCATCTCATGTTGATTTTATGACTTGTGCATCAGATGAACCTAGCCTTTAACATTTTCTGTGGTTCTGCTGATTGCAGTTTTTGCACTATGTCCATATCAAGTTACCAGCAACCTGAGCTCTTTTTTTTTTCCTACATTTCTGTCATCCTAAGACATAAAAAGTGCTAAGCACTTTCTTCCCTTAGCAGGTCAACTATTCTTTTTTCCTAGTCAGCAGGCTATTACTGAGAATAAATATTTTATTGCAAAGGTCAGATTCTCTGGGCAGTTTTCCCCACACTGAAATAACAGTTTTAAATGTTTTCTTTCAACCAGCTTTTGAAACAGGTTGTGGAGCTGTCAGCTGCTTGATAATCGAGTTGGAGGTTTCTGTGTGCAGAACTGACTCTGTTTGTACTGGTGACTTTCTCCGGTCCTCTACACTTTAATTAGTGCATCAAAAGATAGCAGGACAGTACTAAATCGAGCATTTGTCTTTATGGCTGTTTTAACAGGAGAGAATTGTACTTTTAAGAAGAGAATCGCTATTAAGGCTACAAAACCACGTAAAGAGCAGAAGGGCAGCTGCTCAGAATAAGGATCCATTCGGCCTCATGTTCTGCCTCCCACAGGTGGCTGCAAGTGATGTTTGGGGAAGAGCAGGCCAGGGCAAATACAGATAATGCTTCCCCCAGTTTTCCCTTGACCCACAACCATTCAGGGGATTTCCTGAGCCTTTTAAGATTTGTCTATCTAACAGCCCGCATTGGGTATCCCCTCCAAGTGCTTGTCCAGTTTCCCCTTGAACTCATGCAACCTCTTTGCATTCCCAACATCACTCAGTGAGGAGATCTATACATCTACTACCCTTTGAATGAAAAAATGTCACCTTCTTTCCGTGTTGAGCCTTCCTCCGGCTAGCTTAGCTTTGTCGTCCCCAAGGTCTTGTACTGAAGTAGTCGCCCACCTGGATGGCACTCACCATTTTGTAGACCTGTGTCATGCCCTCCCTAGGGCATCTCCTTTCTCCAGGCTGAAGAGTCCCGGCCTGCTCAGTTACTGCTTATGTGGAAGCAGCTCCATACATTTCATCATCCTTGATGCCCTTCTTTTCTAATATCTTTTTCTGAGATTGGAGATCAGAACTCCAAAAAATGGCAAAAAGTGAATTTAAAAGGACGGAGTAACCTTCCGTGTTCTTTCTCTCCTCACAATTCTTAAGGTTCAATTTGACTTTTTGACTGAGCTGATGTTTCATGGAACTTAACTGTCATAAACCCCAAATCTCGTTCCTGCACGATGGGACTGAGATAGCTGTCCCTCACTTCATACGTGAAATGACTGGGGGGTGCAGGGGAGGTCCCCATGTGCATCACTTCATATTTTTCTGTACAGAATGCCATTTTATTGACCAATTACTCAGCCTTTTAAGTTTGGAATTTCTCAATCTGTGCTTGCCCTCAGTGCAAGCTTACTGGCCTCCAGTTACTCAACAATTTTGTTATTTTTTTTAAGTAAAGATTAGTGTCAAATTACTTTATCCAGTCTGTAGGCACCAAGAAAGCTTTAAGAGGAAGGTTATGCAATGCCATTTGCTCCAGATTAAAATTTCCAAGAGGTTAGGATGATTGTGTTTGCTTCATTCAAACCAGCGCATCTATCGCTCAAGAATTCCAGCCGAAGGGAACTAGACGTTTGCTATTTCTTACCTGCGTCTCTGGAGAGGGTTTCTTGGTCAATACTTAGCCCTCTTCCAGCCCTCATACCCCCGAGTTTCAGCGCCCATCAAAGTGAAAGCGGCGTTGCTGTGTCCCCCCGCGGGACTGCCGAGAGCCCGCTGCATCCCTAGGCGCCGCAGAGCCCTTGGTGGCTTTTCCCGCGGGGAAGTCCCAGCTCGTTGATACGGAGATAGGGAAGAGCCTCCACCCAGTTTATTTTTGTTTGCAAAGCGAGCGTCTGAGCAATGCGTACGTGTTGTGCTTGGGTGAAACCACGAATGTTGATACTACAGCTCTTTTGCTTCTGTGCTTTGTGCCATACGAAGGGCCGTCCCCAGCCGTCTTCCAAGCCCTGAAGGGTGATGAAAGTAAAGGGCAGCAGAGCTGTCAGCTACCCTGACAGCAAACACACTCCTAACTAGAAGCTGAAATTTGCCTCCCCAGATTCAGCAGGGCTGAAGGATATGTATAGTGTTTGATTGCGATCCTGAATAGGAGTGCAGCATCTTCTTGTGCATTTTATTGTACCTGAGGATGGATAACAGAAAAAGAACTTATCCATTTCCCCTTTTTTCTCCTTTTGCTGTTAACATCGCCATCAAGCAGTGTCTGATGGTGCCCGCCTGGGTGCTGTGGTTGCTCCCTGTTGTGCTGCTTTGTGAGCTCCCCTGCAGCAGCACCTCCCTCGTGGAAGAGGCAAAGCGAGATCAGCTGGTTCTCCTGTCTGTGTGTGGCTTCAAGTTTAGACAGAGATGGTTTATTATCTCTTTAGTCTCTTAATTATTTAAAACACTCAAGCAGGATGACCAGGCAGGTACACTGCGTGAACTCAAACAGGCAGAATTCACGCCAGTCCTGGTAGCGTCTTCTGGACGCCCAGAGATGAATAATAAGAAATAAAAGATTAATAATAATAAGAAATGAGGCAGGCTGACGACTGACTCAGTGTTCTGGCTCATCTGATAAACCATGAAAACGTGTTATTTTAATTCTGCATTATTAGAGTAGGATGATTGTTAATTTTTTTTTTTTTTTTCTATTTGGAATTGCTATTTGAAAATGAGAAAGGGAGCTGAGAAAAGATAAATAACTAGAATGCATTGCTGTATGAAAGGCCAGCAATTTCTGGAATAAATATTTCTGTTTACAGTTGAAGACAAAGGGCAGCTGTAATCCTTTTTTATAACAGCTTAACAAATCTGACATAGCAGTGTTTACCCTGCACTTCAGGTATTCGATATCAGCGATGAGTTACCACAGGTGGAAACCAACAAGTGCTACTACATGCTTCATGCCAAGGAGATGGCTGTCTGAGGGGCCTGGCATACCTCCCCAAAACTCCGTCAGTAAAACAATATTCAAAGTATAAAATTGAAACAAAAGTAGTATGTGGGGAGAGTGCTTTAACTGTTGCCCACATTTTTGTCCTACCCATGAAAGATGTTACTGTGTGTGTTAAGCCAGTTTTTGCACAATTTAAGGATTTAAACTTTAAACTTTTGTTAAATTTACCCATTTTTTCAGTCACCTTGAGGGTAACTACTCTTGAACCACGGTAGAAAAGAAAAGGGCTATAAGGACATCAGTGATGATCAGACAGAAAGTACAAAAGGAGATCAAGTTTTTAACGATATAATAATTAATAATCTATAAAATAATGTTCATTTCTTTTAAGGGATGGGAAAGACATGGTGGATATTGTTACAAAATCGACAGTACCCCTCGAAGTTTTGAACATGCTTCCAGTGGTTATTTCTGCCCATCTGCACTTGTATCAGTAAAAAACAGGTAGTTAATCCTATGAGACAGTGTGAAGATACCTCTAACGAGCTATTCTAACTTTAGAAAGTGTTGCATGGCAAAAGATATTACCATTATGAAATAGTATTTGTGTGAGAGGCGAGCATAATTACTAACATTGGCTAAAATCAAAGGTACGCTTTGCTTTATTTTTTGATTGAAAATAAATTTAGTAAAAAGCAATTGTTAGGCTAATGAACACTTGCAGCAACGTGCACACACGTGAGCATGCAGGAATCTAAACAAAATGCTTTCTACAGAGGTATGTAACATCTTTAAGAAACTTTATTAGTGTACTTGGAAACTATACTGAAAAATGAAAATATATTTAATTTTTATAATCAAAATATTTCAAATTTTAATCCAAATCAATTAATGTTTTATAACTGTTTCTATTTATGTATGCATTTTGCGTGAGTTCTCAGCAAACGGGGAGAGAGAGTAAATGTTGGAAAGCATTTGAGTTCTGTCTTCCCTTGCTTTGTTCCTGTTTACCTGCATTCCAGCTTCAGCAAAGGCTTTCTCCTCTGCAGATGTCCAGATGCTTGGGTTTTCTCTGATCTCTTTGTGATTTACCCTATGTGTTGGATTCCCATTCAAGTTTGTGACATACTGATAGATATATTACATACATACTTTAATATCCACGTATTTATTGTAAAAAAAACCCTCCCCTCCCTTTAGGACGGGAAGTACTGTAACCACCAGCAATCAGATGAATGATAGCTAGAAATTTTAGGAAAGCAGGGGCTACCCCACATAAGGATTTACATCGATGGGAACTGGGCCTGCCAGATGGTTTCGGGATTGTGCACAATGCATACAGCGCTGGACTGCAGTACGGCAGTGATCCTTACGGGGAGGGTAAAGGACAAATGCTCGCAGCTGAGCATTTGCAGCTCAGACATCATAGGGAGCTGAGAGCACGCTGCACATCGCTGGAAGCATGTCTTCTGTCGTTTTCTGCTTATTTCTTTTTATTTGATTTTTGCTGGGTGTAGCAATCCCTGTTTATTATGTTAGTTCCCAGTTCCAGTGTTGGAGTGGCAAAGGAAACTAGTTGTTAGTTTCGCTTTTTTTTTTTTTTTTTTAAATTACTGCTGAGGTTTGTTGTTCTGGTGTAAAAAAAATGCAAAAACTTTTCAGTGTACTGATTCTAAAATATTCATTAAAAAGTAGACTATAGAGGAAGGAGAGTTCATATAAAAAGAGAACAAGCAGAGGAAATGAAAACGAAATAAAAGTTCTCCGTCACTCTCAGTGTTACAGATGCATTCCTTTTTTTTACATTAATGTCATCCTTATGGTATTTAGCCATTCTTTTCACAGTGTGTGAAACCAAGAAGTCGTACAAGTCCTTATCAAACTGGGAATTTACTTTGCTGTATATATTTTCATAGGAAGCTGATTAAATGTGCTCATAAACTGAAGCATTTTTGTATAATGCTTTACCAATTATATCGGAATAAATTACGTTTAATTGACAAATGGGTTACTATGTGCAACAATTATTACTTGCAAAAAGGTGTAAATCTCTCACAACTTTAATGAAGAAATTAAAGAAGGAAAAAGTGATTCCTTCTGTAGTCAGATCAGCTAGTGCTTTGAGTCCTTCAGCTCTGGTTTCTTAGCGCTAGTTTGTGTGTCCGGTTCCAACAGGATACTTCTGTGCAGAGCTTTTTCTTTTCTTTCTTCTGTAGCTTTTTCAGACCCCGCTATCTTTTCTCCTTCATACAAGGAGTTTCTTATTTTTATTTGTGCATCGTTAATATATTCTGTCTTTACATCTTGTAGTTCAAGCATTGAGCTTATAAGATCTTAATCTACTGTTTCTTCTGTGTGCCCAAATGCTGAAAAAAAATAGGGAAAAATTGTGGTTTATGCTGCAGACTTGTGCCTGAAGTTCCCCACAGCATTCTATAAAGCAAATTAAGTACCTCTTATATGTTTTTCTCTTCTCGCATAATTTAAGTCATTTCATGAGAGCTATTCACTGAAATAACAATTGACCTATTTTATTCCAATAAACTTTTTGTCTTGATTATTTTATTAAGGTTTGAACAAGCTTTTATTAACAGCATGATCCGTAGGATGGTAAAATCTGAGAGAACTTATTTCTGGATAGGATTGCAAGACCTTAACAACACAGGAGAATACTTTTGGCTAAGTACAGCGGGAAAGAACC